TTTCTTTCTTTCTTTCTTTCTTTCTTTCTTTCTTTCTTTCTTTCTTTTTTCTCTTTCTTTCTGTCCCTTCCTTCTACCCCCTCTCTTTTTTTGTCTATCCTTTCTCTTCCTTTCTTTCTCCCTTTTCTTTCCCCTTTCTCTTTCCTTTCTTGTCTCTTCTCTCTTTCTTTTTCTCTTTCCCTCTCTCTTTCTTTCCCTCTTTCCCTCTCTCTTTCCCTCTCTTTCTCGTCCTCTCTTTTCCTTTCTGTCTCTCTTTCTCTCCTTTTTTCTCTTTCCCTTCCCTTCCTCCTTCCCTCTTTCCTAAAGTTAGTAGACCCACCTGAAACAAACACACACACACACTTCCAACAAAGTACTTTTCAAGTGCCTGGCAGCGTCGCTGGTGACGAGGATTCTTCCTGGCCAGTCTCCCTGAGTCCCAGGGACTGGGCATGAATGTATGATCGTGCCCGGTCCTGCCTTGCCCGGAAAGGCCGTCAGGCAAGGCTTCCGGGTTCAACAAAGGTGGGACTTCCTCCCCTCCCTCTTTTGGGGAAAGGAAAGGGCTGGGAACTTCAAGCGAGGCATGCGCTGTAGCCTCGCCCACCCCGCCAGCAGCTCTGGGCTAGGCAGCGATTTGGCTTTTCTGCCTGCCTGCAAACTTACCTTCCTCCTGCAGCTGGTGGCAGAGGGAAAGGTGAGCCAGCCAGGACAGAGCCATCACCACTCGGCTCCCCGCCAGCCTGCATCTCATCCCCTGCCCAGATTCTCTGGAGCTGCTGGAGCTCGCGGCTGCTGGATGCGACCAGAAAGCACGAGGCTATGCTGCCCGTATCGCTCCTCTGCCAGCCACCCCTCCCTCACCGGGCCAAGCGTTTTGGCCGAGTGCAGGCTGCCTCTGTGAGGAGGGTGCGAGCTCCATGAGCTGGAAGGTAAGGCTGACGGTGGGGAAGGACTATCTGCTCTGGTGAGGCTTGACTCACACCATTCTCACAGCAGCGGCCTGCACTCCTTCAAAGCACGCGGGCTGGCAGGCAGGAGAGGGAAGGGGCAGCAGGCAAAGGGGCGATGCGGGTGGCATAGCGTCGTACTCCTTGGTCACCCTCCCATCCCCACCCCTAGCAGGCAAGGTGCAGCAGCTGCAGAGAATCCAGGCGGGGGGCGAGATGCAGGCTGGTGGGGACCTGAGCGGCGATGGGTCAGCCCTGGCTGGCCTTCCTCTCTGCCACCAGCAAGCTGGAGGCCAGGGACAGTGGGGGGTGGGGGCAGCTAGGTAGATGGTGGTGGCAGCCTAGGCTGGCCTGGGAGTTGGGACTCAACTGGGGCTTGTGGCGGTAAGGGTGAGGGCAGCAGTGGTGGCACGGTGGTGGCGGCCTAGGCTGGCCCAGGAGTCGGGACTCAACTGGGGCTGGTGGCAGCAGTGGCATGTAGGTGACCGGGGCTTGCAGAGCCTCACTCACCTAGGGAGATCACAGATCAGATTCAGATCAGGCAGGGCAGCGGCGGAAGGCAGGCAGCGATGGCTGGCAGGTAGGCGAAGGCAGGCTGAGGGCAGTGATGGCGCATAGCCAAGATAAAGATGTGCCGAGTGGGGAGGGGAGGGGCCCACCAGAACCAGTCCAAACTGGTAGAATCCCACCCCTGTATATAGTGTATCCTAGTATAGGATTGGAATCTCTCTCTCTCTCTTTCTTTCTTTCTTTCTTTCTTTCTTTCTTTCTTTCTTTCTTTCT